ATTTTCTGTACATTTACTGTGGTACTACCAAGTTTTTTTTTTTTTTTTACCTCCCCAGTACCTTGTAGTTCCATGTAAATACCATGGTGCATTCATTACAGTATTTCAAAATATCATAGTAATGTTGTCCCATCACTGTACCATAATACTACCACAGTATGTTGCTGTAAGGCAGGCCATAGAGTTGTCCAGTGCTTACATTAGCACACCGCTCAATACCACACAATAGCCTGTACAAGTATCCTTAATTATAGAACACACGCATAGAGCCTTTCTGAGCATTTATGATGTGCAGTTCTGTTTTTATAAAGATCTGAGTCAGCCGTCAAACCTAAAATGGAATTTAAGCCCTGTCTCAAGAGCTCAGAAGAGCCGAATTGGATTTTGAGTTGTGAAGAGAGGCATTACTTTAACTTTTGTTTGGATCTCAGTTGAGTGTCTCAACAGTTCTTCCACTGTCCTTCACACTCCTCTTTATTCTTCTGGGGTGCTTTAGCTCAAATAATGACAAAGATATTCTCCATCAGTCTCCATTTATAGAGAAAGAGAATTTGAAATCAATATCCTATGTGTTTGTGTAATTGCTGGTCAATTATATTATATGAGGTGTACACTTGTACACTTATGCATGAATTGATAGATTAGTCAGATTGGCTCATTGCTATTTGACAAGCATATCAGACTTTCTGTTCTCTTTTTATGCACATATGCACAAGCACACTGAAACTGAAACGCACTCCCACACATTTTATTTTACATGAATCTTATTTGATCATGAAAAGGTCTTGGTAACTCAGATTTCACACATTCTGAAATTGGAGAAGGAAAACAAATCAGTGACTCAATCATAAAGTCAGTCACTTGTTTTGTTCCTGAATGATTCTGTGTTTTGAACAAATCTGTAAAGTGAATGAATCAATGTTGCACCCATAAAGTCAATCACTTGTTTCATTCATGAATGAATCACTGTTTTGAACATATCAGTTGAGGGAATGATTCAATGACTTAATCATAAAAATGTATTTTGTTTGAATCTTGAATGAATCAGTCTTTTGAATGAATCAGTTCAGTCAATGAATCAACGATTCACTCAAAAGGAAAGTCTCTTTCGCCACCTTTCATTATCTTTGTAACCTGCAGAAAAAAAATACACTAATTTTAGCAACACACTACTCTATATAGCATATACTGCTATATAGCACACAGCTTGTAAACTTCTGTGTCTTAAACTGCTGTTATGTTTCTTTTATGTAATTTTGAAGCTTGACAGCCCACTTTCCCATTCACATTCATTGTATAGATAAAGCAGCTTAGACATCCTGCCAAACTTTCTGTTTGTGATTCCCGGAAAAGAAAAATCATAATGATTTAAATTTTTGGGCGAACTATTCCTTTAATTTCTCTCCCATTAATTTTCTGCTGGTTTGGGCAATACACTTTTTTATGATTCTCTGGGCACGACACCATAAGTCATAAGCATTTTTCTCTTAAGATAATAAAGGAAGATTGTAGCCAAAAATTCAAGAATTCAGAATTGAAAAAATCACTTAAAAATAATGGCAGAATGTGTGTGTGTGTGTGTGTGTGTTTTAATAACTTATTATGTATTAGAGCAGTTTGTCGTGTATGTGCTGATAAAAGGTTCATGGCTGAACTTTTTGATGTTGCTGTTGATATTTCAGTGACATAAAGGTTACAATGCCAAAAGCAAAGCTATTTCCTGGAAGACAACCAGACCGCTTAGAAATGTAGCTGGGATTCAAAAAATCTTCACACAAGATGGCAGTCTTTAAACAGTGCTTCTCCAGAGAGATAATTTTCACTTTCAGGTCTTCAAATCATTCCTAATCTTTTTAACAAGCTCTTCAGAAACGTATAAAGTCATCTCAAAGACGAATGGAATGGAAGAGCTTCATACTAGCACGAATGTCAGTGGCAGCGATATTTTGGTTACTAATAATCTTTAGAATCGGTTTCATTCCTGATATTAATGGAGATGATTACTGTGTTTAAATAAACTCAGTTACCACATGCTTGTCATACCTGCTGAGACGGAGTCTTGCTCTGCAGTGAACCATAATGAGAAAATTTGATTTTAGAGGTTTTCAAGCATGTTGCAAGCTGAAAGTGACAATCTTACTACTGGTAGCTGCTTTTTGCTTTGGTCTTTCACTAGATCAGTTAGCACTACTGGGTGCACCTTAGATTACACAATTAATATTCATAAGCCAAGCTGATAAGTGCTACATTATGCTCACATTTCAGATTATTTCTATGCCTCTGGTTAGAAGCAATAATGAACTAGAGCGGTTTGCCTGGCAGGTAAATAGTAGAATAATCATCTTAATCTGAATGCATCTATGCCTGGTCATTTTCCACATTATTTATTTTATTTTTTTTGACATTTCAAATGTGTTGTGTGTTTGAAAAGTTGCATGAAAGCTGAATTGTGAAGTTTCAACCACTTCAGGTAGTCAACTAACCTCAGGCATTCAATCAAGCCGTAGAGGAACATTGAGGATTCCTCGAGGAACAATGCACCTCACCGTTAGAGGAGAACATGGTCATTCTACAGATAAGAGACAGAACATTTTTACCTCAGTGAGATAAAGGCCTTCTGTGCTGCAGGCTTTCTGGTTATGGTCGGAAAGAAAATTACAGAAGGGTAACATATATTTGCTACAGGCCTGACTGAAAGTAATTTATGCATTTAAAGCATGCTTCTGTTTTTGTGTTATTTCTTTTTCTGCCTGCGTGCCTCGGAAGAAACATTCAAAACACTTTTTATAGTAAAGGACATATACCATACAATGGGAATAGACTAAGGTTGTTGTGAAGAAACCATTTTATTAAAGTGAAATGCAAGTACAAAAATGAAATGTGTATATATATATATATATATGTGTGTGTGTGTACAAGACTGCATATATATTTGAATCAAATATTGCTTTGCATTGACTGTGTTTGAAGTAGTATCATATACTAATGCATAGTTTTTTGTTGTTGGTTTGTTTTTGTTTTTTATTATTATGAAGTATGCAAGGCTAAATGTTTCGATCAGCAGTATATGTGCATACAATATGTTAAATATATCACTGATAGGGTAATTTTTTATCATACATTAATGCATTTATTTAAGGTTTTGTTGCGACAGGTAGCAAAAATACAGTGGTGGATTTTATGGTGTATCTAACTTAAATCTGTTTAGTACTTTGTGGTCTGAACAGCAAAGGAAATGCATGAAATCTGATTTTTTTTTACAAACCCGATCCAAACCACTTTCATATGTGGTTTTAAATCTGTATATAGTCAATCAAAAATAAATTACTGTAACATGATCCCAGTATGTTGCATGTTTAATTCAGCGAATGGCATCCAGATGTCATGCCTTTTGCAATTTTAATTGTATTTAAAAATGTTGTCATTTTTAGCAGTCTGTTTAAATAATGGGTCAAGAAAGAGAAATTTGTGATTAATATCACTTCTGAATAACTAACTAAATATAATTTTGGAAATAAATACAGTTATGTTGCATTTTAAGCAAGTTTTTGTAAAATATGGAATGGAATTATGAAATGTAATGCATTGCATTGTGGGATAAAGTATTCTGAACAATGTGCTATGATTGTATACTGCACGTTTGCAAATGTAGCTGGTCATGCATTCAGAAAAAAAAAATCCTGCATACTAAGTATGCCTTTCTGAATCGTGGTCAACCATTCGCCATTGGTTTAATTTTTTTACTTTTTATTTATTTATTTATTTATTTTAAATTTTCGTGTCAATTCAAGGTGACTAAGAGTGTGAGTCACAGTCACTCATCCATCATAGCTTTGCTAATCCATTAGTTCAGCCACTTAATCGGCAGATATTGAGCCATTACAGCTGCTAATTACCACAGACAATTGCAATGGCCCAATGCGCTCTACCTGATAAATACAAAGCACTTTCAATATCTGAGAGGCTGTCTTGCATTTCAGTTAGATAATTAAATGTTCCTGTACCCTAAGTGGATATGGCTCAAGTGCTCTCAGAGTTTGTAAAGTATGCTAGCCCATCCTAGCTGTGCAAAAGTTAGTTTTAAGGGTAATTGAAGGATATCATGTTCAGGGGATGGAGTCATGTTGCTGTCATTATTGTTTGAATGTCGAATATAACCACAATTGATGCTACAAAAAAAATAGCTATTAGCAAATGTTTCCATTAAAAGCTTTATGCAATCTGGAAATGCATGCCTGTTTGAATAATATCAGTAGAAATGCATGCATTGTGTGTTTATATTTTTGTATTTTCAAAAATACAACTTGATAATTAAAGGTTAAACACTCCAAGTGTCTGGACTAAAAATGGACAGAATGGATCTCTCATCCTATTTGAGTGTATGTCAATGAAAACCAGGCTTTGAAGGATCAGTGTGCAATTGGACCAATAGGTTCATGTCCGATTTTTACGTACCAAAGCTTTTTTGTACATATTCGCTGTAATTTACACTACATTATACCATATGTATGTCCCTCAAAAACATGTTTTTTATTTTGTGTCAAATTAAATATGGCAGCCATCCCGAGGTTTCATTGTCATATTTTGGTATAAGTGTTTTAAAATGACAGGAATCTTAATCAAAATGTAGCAATAGGGGAAATTAACATGCACAATTAAAAATCAGATATCGATAAATAATAATAATAGTAGTACTAATAATAATAATAATAATAATAATAATAAAGCATCCAATGTCAGCCAGTAACTGGTCCAGTACCATTATATCATGCATTCCAATTTATTACAGGCTTGTTGAGATAAGTAGCTAAACATTTTTGGTGTATCTAATTCAAATATCTTTAGTTACTTGTGGTCTGAACAGCAAAATAAACACATGAAAATCAGATTACAAACCCGATCCAAATCACTTTCATATGTGTTGAAACCTGATTAAAATCAATCAAAATAAATACTGAAATACTAAATTCTGAAATTCAAACATGTTTTATGTGTTTCAGCTGTTGCAGGGCAAGTCAATACCAAAGCTTGGCACCCTGGACCAAATCGAGACAGGAAGTGGAGACGGATACAGTGGAGAGTGTGATGACGAGGATGGATGCTGGGGATCAGGGAACGGAGCGGCCGAGAGGAGAAGAATAGTCACTATATGTGAGTATCAATCTCAGATGGATGGATGTCTGATAGGTTTATAGTAGCCAACTTGAAAAAAGTGAGATACAACACTTCCTGGGAACACCTCTTTCTTCATGGGAATAGATTTGGAGAAATTTAGCATTGTGTACATAATTTGCTCACCGATGGATCCTCTGCAGTGAATGGGTGCCGTCAGAATAAAAGTCCAAACAGCTGATAAAAGCATCACAATAATTCACAAGTAATCCACACAACTCCAGTCCATCAATTAACATCTTGCGAAGCCAAAAGCTGTGTTTGTGAGAAACAAATTTTAACTTCAAACCATTATTTCCAGCTAAAATATGAGTCCTAATATTGCTTTCTCCTGTGATAAAGTTGTCTGAATCAGGAGATAAATATGCACAGATCAAGCACTGTTTACAAGCAAAAACAGTTCTAAACAAATATTTCTTTGGATTTTGATGTGAGAGGACACTAGGGGATGGAATTTTTTCACTGGATGAAGCCTAATTATGGATTATGGACTCATTTCAGATATAAGAAATGGTTTGATGGTAAAAACGTGTAAATTATGTATATGCTTTTTACAAACACAGCTTTTGGCTTCACAAGATGTTATTGAATGGACTGGAGACGTGTGGATTACTTGTGGATTGTGATGTTTTTATCAGCTGTTTGGACTCTCATTCTGACAGCACCCATTCACTGCAGAGGATCCAGTGGTGAGCAAGTGATGTAATGCTAAATTTCTCCAAAAGAAACACACATCATGGATGGCCTGAGCTGAGGGTGAGTACATCATCAGCAAATTTTCATTTTCAGGTGAAATATACCTTTAACACAGTAAACAATGTCCTTTTATTAATTGTAGACCTGCTAATCAAATGCGAGTCACTTTGTTCCTTTGTACATCATAGTTTGACCGTCATAAGTCAGAGATAACAAGTAGGAAATACCACATCCGCTATTTGAATGGAAGGCGAAATTAGATCAGACATTCATTGGTGCTTGATATCAGAGTGTAATTAAGAGGTGGAATTAAGGTCAAGCGTATAGAAACATTTTTTCCAGACATTTCCTTTTCCTCCAAATTAATTATGCAATCACAAATAACGTGGTTGTAAAAAAGTGGAACAAATCAAAGTGGCCATCTGGTAATTACTTCATCTTCCGGAGGGGATTGGATCTCTGACCCGTGGCCCCACTAAATCAACCTCAAGGGCTGCGTGCTTCTCTCTCTCCAAGCCTCCTCTATCTCCCGTATGCTCATCTGATTAATTGCCCCACTCTTTTTGTCTGGATGGGGCGTTCTGGGTCATCTAAATGTGCCGTTGCATCACGCCGGTGTTTCCTTTTCCGCCTGTCAATCTGCCGTAGTGTGTCAGAGCCGCCTTATACTTCTCTCATAATTCATGGAACGCAGTGACAATGCGCTCATTTATCACCGTCTCTCCCTCTCATCCGCTGTACGGTTTTCTGTCCAAAACCACTTCACGCCTCAGCCACCAATGCGCCACCTGTTATGACTGTCAATAAGTCACGCAGATGGGGGCTCCGCAGTCAGCAGTCACACTTTGTGTTTGGATCTAGATATGGAGGCAAAATGACAACTGCTAACGTGACAAGAGTTAGTGAAGGAGACATCGGCATCTTCATGCTCACTTACATTCATTTGTTTTGTGACATACTGCTTGTGTGTTATTCTGCAATAAAACCCTTTCTTAATCAGTGACTTTATTTCTACCTAGCTACTTTGCTAGTAAATAATATAATTGCAGTAAATTTCATTAAAACAAGATACATTTACTTTTATGTTTAGAAGCAAGATTGCAAAGCATATAATTTTGTTTTCAGATAATGTATGATTTGCATTTTGTGATGAAATCATGTTGCTTGCCTGTGCAAAACTTGCTGTCATGGTGCTGGGGTGTTCATAGTCTCAGCCCGTGACGTCACGCCCACGGACCGTTGGCTGAACGTCTGATGCATACGGCACACAAAATTGGAAACACTTCAGGAGTTTCGAAGTCGTCATTGGATTGGTTGAATTATACTGGATTTCCAGAAGACTCGTGTGTTGCGTTCTTTAACGTTCTGCCTGGAAACAAACCTACCGTAACGCCAAACCCCATCATGTTAGAAGAAAGCCGTCATGTTTACAACTGTGATAATGAGCGCTTATCAGGATCAAATAAATGTTGGATTTTCAAAAGTATGTGAAATATTTAAAGTTTGCAGCATAGAATCTTTAAAATACGTCCAAGAGTTTTACACACGGTCTGTTATTGTGGGGACATTTCGACGCCCCTAAACATGACACGGCACAAAACGAGAGGTTTCTTTATCTGTCAGTCATATGGCCTCTTGGGCAGTCCTTGCCATTCAAAACGGCAAAGGTTCCCAGACCTTCTGCCGTGAGACTGAAGGTCTGGCTACGCAAAACTAGGGTGTTCAGGGTGGAAAAGGGTTTCTATTGTGTGCTGACTGGTGAGGCATTGCATAGTGGTTGCTATGGTTTTCTGGGTGGTTGTTATGCCATTCTAGGTGGTTGCTGTGGTGTTATGGGTGGTTGCTAGGTCATTATACTTGGTTACTAGGATATTATTGGCCATTGATATGGTGTTCTGGATGGATGCTATGGTGTTAGGCATTGCAAGGTAGTTGCTTGGTGATGCTAGGTGGTTGCTAGGCACTTGCTATGGTGTTTTGGGTGGTTGCTAGGACATTTCAGAGCCGTTGCTATGGATTGGACATTTCAGAGTGGTTGCTAGGGTCTTATAGGTGGTAGCTATGGTATTACTGGTCATTGTTAGGTAGTTCTAGGTAGTTGTTAGGGTTTATTTGATGACATGTTATGATGTTCTGGTTGGCTTTCTAGAACATTGCCTGGTGGTTGCTAGGGTGTTATTGGTGGTAGATTCTAGGGTGTTGTAAGTGGTTCCTATGGCTTTTTAGGTTGCAGTTATACTTCTCTGCTTGTTTGCAAGAGCATTGCCAAGTGGTTGCTAGGTATTGCTAGGTGGTTGCTAGGGTGTTCTGGATGATTGCTAGGGCATTGTAGGTGGTCACTAGGATGTCATTGATCGTTGCTATAGTGTTTTAAGTAGTTGCTAGTGTGTGGGAAGTCTGATGTTATGAATTTTGAAAAAAAAAAAGATTACGAAATTTAAATGTATTTTTTTGTGGTATCAAAAGACAAAGTGACTGCTCATCCTTTTTTCCCTTTTGAATGTAAAGTTTGTAGCCAAATAAATTTGTTTTGTCTTTAACTTAAAGATTGAAAAGTAGCAATCATTTCTATGCAACATCATCATCAGCAACATTATTATCGGCATGAAATGCATTAAAAAAAAAGTTTAATTTGTTTTCTGTAACTCTCAGTTTGTCCTCCAGTTGGCATGTATATATAACAAGCAAACACAGTGCGATGTACATTTTATCAGGACACTATGTTGTAGTGCAGTTGAAGTTAAAATGTTTTGTTGTTCAGCAGGATTTGCTGAAGTATTGAAATATTCAGTAGTTTATGGTCTCCTTCGATTTATCAAACCCTAAAGCTGCTGAGGTACAAGAAAGAAAATAAAAACAAAGGAAAATAATCAGTCTTGCCGATACTCACCTGTCACTTAAAACATTCGCTGGCGATACACAAAAATCACCACTCACTTCCAGATTCAAATCACTCTTTTTACCACTAACTTTTGATTAATATTGAGCTCCTGCCTCGAGCGCTGTCACAATGGAAGATATCTGTGAGCGCTGGGACCAAGCTTCAGTGGGTCACGCCAAGGGGAAATAACTAAATAAATACAACAGAAACAAACGCGACTGTTGTCTTCCCTCAATGTGAAAGTAATAAATAAAATATTAACAGACATGAGGCTTGTGATTCTGGCTCAGTCTGCTGGAGTCTTCAGACAAAAGGACGCGTCACCAGGCTCCTTGTCAATGTCACCTGCGCACGTTCTTGTGCTTGGCAGCGAATCCAGACGCTGTGTACTTGGTATGGAAAACAAAAGCCGTCAGCGAGACGTATCGGCAGGGAGTCACATTGATCTCCAGTAAGGAGACACAGTGAGAGGAAGTGGAGGCAGGTCCCTTCGGTGAGCACTTGTTAATTAATAGCCTGTCTCAGAACGGGATTACATGATATCGCCCCCCGGTTTTCATCCTGAGCTATCGCTTGAAGGTGATCTTTTGCACCTGATGAGCTGTAATGATCTTGTTGTATTTAAATGGGTCCTTTAAGGGACCGGATGCTTTTGGGGCACTTCTGTGGCCACAACTCACGATATACTGCTCATCAGTGGTTATGTAGAATGAGAGGTGCTGTGACACCGATTGCTTGCTGAAAAACAACAGGCCATGCCAGTGGGATGGGAATTGTTCTGTAGTTGTTTTAAAGAAGCATCCCTTAGCAATAATAAGGTGTAACTTAATAGCCAAACAACAATACTAAACAACAACAACAAAAAAATACTATTAGGCATCTTTAAAATGAAATGAAATTTATTGCAACCAATTCATATTAAATTCAAATTCAGCAATTGAGCTGAAATGTAAAATACTTCATCAGTTCAATTCTGGAAGGTGCATACACTCTTAAGTTTGATATCATGTCCAAATATGGACGGATGAGTCAGTCTGCAACACACACAGGGGTAGTGCAGCCTGCCGTGTGCAGCCCACTCGACACGGGAAACCACCACCGCTGAAGCGCCGTACCACCAGCACGAGAGCCCACCGAAGAGCGTGCTTGACTGTAGTTTATCACTACTGCAGAGGTCAGGAGCAGAACGATAGAACCGCTCGGCTCCGAAGCGAAAAGCTGAATATGCGCTGCACCTGCTGCCTACTTATACTCACGCTGTGATCAGCAGCAGCTGGATGCAATAATCGCATGCCAATGTGCATTGGCTCGTTTAGTTTACACTCGAAGTAGATTGGTCCCTCTAAGCGAGATCCCAATTCGTCGGTCCTCCGACGTGACGTCGAGAGTGACCGACTGAGAG